ATAAAGATTTTGAAGTACAGTGAAGTACAGAACAGATGTATTTTGGTGAAATGCGCGAGGAATTTCTGCTACATGTAACTGTGCACTCAAAAAATGGCTGAAATCCACGATTAGTCATTTTACAAACAATGGGTAAAAGCAAGAATGAAAATGCACCCTGGTTCTATTTGATGGAAAAAGCATTCATGCAAAAATCAACATTAGAGCTTATAAAAACAATTTTATAAACTTTGTTGAAAACATCGTTTAGTTTCTAGCATACGAAGGCCTTGCTAGCAAATGGTTTGTATATTGAATGAAGCAAAAACTGAGAATTCGTACGAGAATATTCTCGCAAACTTTATGTTCTATTAGTTTCATTTCAACAATATATCAGATAAAGATCACACTGAATCGCAAACTTATGTTTAAACACTGAATTAAACACTGAATTGCTAGCTTTGGTTAATCACGACAAAATGAGTCATACCAGCTCGTCATTCACCCCATCACCATCAGCATCACGATCACACAGATCTCCTTGTCCATCTTTGTCATAATCCTTCTGGGCACCATTTGGAACGTATGGGCAGTTATCCTATTTAACAAAAACGAAAAGATCAGATTAACATATTTTCATATTCGTCATTCAAATCCAGTCGAAATTAATTTCTTTCAAACATTCCTTTATAGACACCAAAAGTTGTCCATGATATCTGGATTTGTGACAAAACAGATCTTGACTTGTCAAAAACATTTCATTGAATGGTATAAGCGTTCTAACTCGAAAATAATAGCTTTTATAGATTTGCAAAGTATCGTTAAAGACATAAACGAGACAGTCTGTTTCGAAAATTACTGAACTATTACATCTCTTGAAACCCGTCATTTAATTGCCAATGTGAGGTAGATTTCTCAGATAGCTCTATAAAAGTCTTTAGGAGCCAAAAATGTTCACCAGGAGCTAATAAGGGTCTGATTAAACTGTAAACAGGAGCCGTAATGGCTTAGTAGGAACTATAAGGAGCTTTAATGAAGCAAAATGTAGAACTATTGATCTAATAGATTCTCTGTGATGTAAATTGATGCCGTATTTGGTTTCACGGCCTCTTATCAAAACCAGTTGACTCCGAGGCTACTTGACTGATTGATGTTGTCGAACGACCTGTAAGACATATGGTCATGAAGAAACGCAAAGTTTTTCTTTGAAGAATAATGCGATTTGATGTTTTCTTGTTAGAACCAAAGCTGTACTCTTTACTAACCGCTTTGCACTCCATTCCTCCGCAAGGCAATGCTTTGTCGGGTATGCCATCTGAATCAGAATCGTCTCCGCAATGGAAGCCATTACCAGCGAATCCTGGTTTGCACTGTCGAAAAGTGGAACAAATTGTATGTCACAATTAAAAGAGCAATATTACTTAAAATACTAAGAAATAATGCGTTTTCTAAAGGTCTTTCCAAAGGAATCAGACATCCGTAAAACATCACGCAACTTCGAAGTACCAACATTGTTCAAATGTGTCCTTTCTTTAAATCATCCTTCAAGATTTACATCTTAATCCTATTTTGATATTATAATGGTGATCTGAATACACATAAAGATATGCAATCAATTAGTCGAATCTATATATTGTTTTTGAGTTACTAAGGGACAAATAAGGAATCTTCTTGATTAAAAAGTTTATGTATCTAGAATAGCATTAATGAAGAGCTGGAAAATATTCTGAGCATTTTCAACCATAGCAAAACACGCCTAAAAAATTTATCAATTCTGAAAATATCCATTACCTGACAGTCATAATTCTTGTCTTTGCTTCGCGAAATGCATTCGGCATTCGGGCCGCATAATGTCTCGCCTTTCTTCTTTTTCTCTTCGCAAACACCGACAAATCGACACTTTCCGACTTCTGGCCCTCTGTATCCGAATGGGCAAGAACATTTGTAAGATCCCTAGAGAGCAATTTTTGAGAACTAGCAATTGACATAATAAGAGAATAATGCTTTAGAAATGCCACGGGAACATTTTAAAAGGGTCCATAATAAAAATCGCTGCAAATGAGATCTAAAATTAATGTTTTTGTTAAATTAGTACACAATATTGTTGTACTAGATATTTGTCGCAGATATTTGTTGTAGCAAATTTTACATGCTATTTTTAACGAAAGGTGGTAAAAATGCCTAATTTTCGGCTATGGCCTAGGTTTGTTTACACTTTCCAGGGCTGTGATTGGTTCAGCCGCGAGAGAGACCACGTGATCATGCGCAAGCTGTCAGCCAATCAGGATTTGAGCCCTATACTACCAAAATTGAGTATCTAACGTAAGAAGGCCAAAAATTTGAAAAGAGAAGCAGACACGTATAACATTAGATCCACGAAGCAATTGTTGGCAACCAATGCCTAAGAACAATTGTTTAGCAAAGGATTTTGAATTATCAATAAGGTATTGCAACTATCAAGCTAGGACTCCGTTCATTCTTTCTGTAAAATACGATTTACGACTGAATGAAAGCCATTCTCAGTTAGCTGCTTGAAATATGTGGAGATTTTGAGAAGGCTTCCACTAATTATTCTATAAATTTAACTAGTACAACATGGTAACCCTGTAGGGTTCAGATCGGAAATGGTACTTTCCTATCATTTTGCTTGTATGGTATTAATCAACTCACCACAGTATTGATGCAAGCTGAGCCAGGCGGGCATTTGAAGTTGCCAGTTGTGCACTCATCAATGTCACTGCAGCTGCTGAAATCTTCACCTGCATACCCTTCAGGACAGCCACACTTATAACTACCCTACGGGCGGAAAAACAAAAATAGTCATTCAGGTGACATTTATGACAGAAAATGACATATTGAAATGCCCATGATGATACTATTCTTTAAATAAAAACTGGAATGAATGGAATGAAAGAAATTCACATTCACAAACCTATCTGCCTTATACAGCCAGGCAAAAATATTGAGAGCATAACTATCAGAGGGAATACAGGTATTGATACTCTTATGTTTTGGATGCTGTGCGAACGATGTTTCGAGTAGGGCAATGGTCTAAGTTTCCTAGCAAAACGCTTAAATATAATAAAGAGTTCTATATGAAGTCAAAGTCCTTATGAACTCTTTGATTCCCTGACAACAGGCAAGTTTCTGGTCTCTCGCCAACCCTTTTCCTGTTCGTATTTTCAGATAGAACAAAAATGGAACAAAGTAGTTTGAAATAAATACTTCTTTGATAGGAGAGTTCAATTTTCTTAATTTTACTGGCTAGAAATTGTGATTTTAAAAGAACAGTAACAAGCAAAGAATAGAAACAGTGCAGAACACATATATTATCTCTGTGCTTAAAGAAACTTATGTGTCAATGCGACTTTATAAAAACACCATGTTCCAAATCATTGCGAACTTGTTTGAATCTCACCTCTTTATTTGTAATTCGACATCTCTGTTTGGTTAATAGAAATGATTATATGACTTAGCTTATTTAAGCTTGCAGCTACAAAGGTGAACAAATTTGAAATCTCACCGGAGTGTTTCTGCAGACACTGCCAGGAGGACAGAGTGTGATGTTGGCATTGCATTCATCTCTGTCTACGCATTGCCCGAATTCATCTTCTTTATAGCCATTCTGGCAAGAGCACTGGAAACTTCCCTGAAACAAAAAAGAAAAGGTAAATTCCAAACGCACAGCTGTAAATTCAACTCTTACAAATTTGTCTGCCTAGTTAATCTTTAAATGGCTCTGATAAAAGCAAACATTTTGCAAAATAATATTTCTATAGGCACGCAGCACTGATTGGGTAACTGTGCCGGTCATGTGTTTGCGTTTTTCTGATTGCAACAATTTCAATCAATCTATTTCATTCTTTGGAACACTTTTTTTGAAGTTTTATACTCTGAGCTCTAAGGAGTATCGGACGAAAAAGCTTTACGTAGTATATTGTGAAATGTTTGCTATTTTTAAAAGCCATTTTCAAATTTTTCATCGCCAAATTGTTCAAAGACAATTTCATAGTACAAATCTCATTTTTAAGATAGTGTTTAAAAGAAAATAAATGATCACAAGTAAGGTTGTACAATGCTTTAGCCAGTTGAGAACTTTATTTTGTTTTCAATTCATTATGTAGTAGCAAAAAATTAGCAGAAAAACAATACAAACCAGAGTATTGATACATCTTGTTCCCTTGGGACAAAAATATTTTCCAGTTTTACATTCATCTTCATCGGTGCAATCTCCCTTGTCGTCGTTCTTAAACCCTTTAGCACAGTCACATCGGAAGCTTCCCTGGATAAAAGCAGAATTTCACTTCAGTCAGATCAAAAGTCAGAAAACTGTGTGGAAATGTCAAAAACTACGATTTTATTATATGAAATCCCATGTAAAGAAAATATACTAGAAAATGGTTATATAGATGAACGGAAATTTATCTATTTAATGTAGGCTTAAATAACGAGTTCATTGAAGAGGAAATTTTTCCATCTAAAATCACTGAAAATTAATCTTTTTTCTATAATTGATTAGCCAAGTAGTCCTCAGCAATGTTAAGTTCTAGCCACGTCATAGCAGATTTGTAACAAAAATTTCGATTTGAAATTGCACATTTTGTGTAATTCGACGAGTGGTGTCATCATTTCAGTACTTTATTGCAGGTCTCTAAGGAAACAGCAGAGGCAAAAAAGTCAACGTGCCATTTTGATGAATTCCGAATAAAATCTTTGATCGTAAGCCAGTAACTGAGACTTCGAGAGGCAAAAGATCTTTGCACGAGACAGACATAAATGTTTGGAAGGAAACCAAACCCACAACTGAGAATTATCTCAAGTGTGATATCTAGTTTTTCAAAATGGATGTTATCATTTTCTGGTTGATAATACAGGTGAGATACCAATGCGGTTAGTTAAGGTTGCATTTATCATACCTCTGTGTTAACGCAACGACCACCATGAGGACATTCAAAGGCCTGATTCTCACATTCGTCTATGTCCGTACAATTCCCAAGCTCAGCTCCTTTGAATCCCTCGGGACATGAGCACGTATAATTCGCCTGTTTTGTAGAGAGTACATTTCAGCATTAGCAATCATGCATTTAAAAGATTCAAATCTCAGCGGGAAATGTAGAATCTCTTGAGATATCTTCCTAGATTTTGACTTGATACACATTAAAAAGGTCTGTACTGAAGTTTTTTCTTAAGACCTCTTTGGCTTTTGTTAGCAACAAATAAGTCCTAAAGGTATTTTCAAAAATATCAAAGGGTTTCAGAATCTAATAAGTTTCTTTCAAAGAGCAAAGATGGATTGTTGTTAATTTTCACAAACATATTCCAGTTTTCATTAACATGACATAACATGCTTAGCAAATGACAATCTAGCTAATGCCAATTCTACTTACGACTGTGTTGATGCATTTTGTTCCGGCAGGACATTTGTGTTTCCCGGCCCGACACTCATCTACATCATTGCAATGGCCTGTCTTGTTTTTATGAAATCCTTTTAGGCACGTGCAATTGAAGCCTCCCTGAAAGGAAGAGACAGACATAGTTTAACGAACATGTTGATAACGTATTTTCACGTATTTTGAAAGTTCTCCAGATACACTGAAATTGGACGAAATTGTTGATTTTGATTCTTTTTATTATGATGCAACAATGATGCAAGTCTAAGAATCCTAATTTGAACCAAGATTTCGAAAATTTTGCAAAAGACTGGTATACTTCAAAGAGAGCTTGAAACAAGAAGGTTTTGTTCTCCAAATTGAGTAGCGTCTCACAAATGATTAAAAAAACAATGAAAATTCTAAAAACTGAACATTTATCGTGAGTTCCGAAAGCATGATGGGAGTAGCTAAAATAACTTAATTTTTGAGACATCGACAACCTTGGTTTCATTTTATCTTCCAAGAAGTTTGATTACATTTCAAAGATCGCAGCGGCGAGACACATTTTTTGTTTTTTCTTTATTTGGAGGTGACTACGACTTTACTTTTGAACCTGCCTTGGGCTGGAAACGTAAATCTACTCATTTTCATAGTCTCAAGGGTAGAAAATTATATTAAATAAGTCATTTAATTAGCCGAATAGCTGTCGATACATTTCTCAAACCACATATCATAAACAGTCTTGATAACAACACTCTTGGGAAGATCCATGTCTCACGAGAATTGCAAGACAGTTTAAAACAATTGGATAAATGTCAAGAAAAAAATCCAGCTTAATCTCCTGAGATTTTAAGCTGAAAATCGCACCATCATTTAAAGCTTAATGTCATCATAAAATCAAATTATTGTGCTAAGGTCAACAGGTTTTACAGAAAAGTTAATTGGCAATAGATTATTTTCTCAAATAAACAGTTTTTTGCTAAAAAAGAAAGTTTGGGAAAGAAAAAATGATCAGAGATTCAAGATTAGATTTTATTCACTGCTAAGATGTCTTGAAATCAAACGATTTCGTTTCAGATCTATAGCATCGCGAAGATAAAAAATAGCGCTCAACTTTTTAGAGATAATAAGGAATATAATAGAGTTTCCAAATAAATCTTTCGCACCACAAAAATGTAAGGATAACACGAAAAAATAGGATAATTGAAGACGGCAAGATATATGTTTCCGCTTTACTGTGTTATCGGTAAATAATGGAATTTATTACATCTGTTGTGTGCATTGGTGAAACTAAGATGGCAAAACTGTTGATGTCCTTATGATAAATTGATATTAAGAGAAGCAAAGCTGTTCCTGTTTCTTAAAGAATTGAAAAGCGTTTATGCAGTACAAAGTTTACTAAATAAAGGAAATGTCGATCGTTGGTTAAAGAAAAGGCTGACCTGACATCTTAGCTCAAGGATTAACTGCAAGTCTTGAAGAGAAAGTGCAACTTAATGAAATTTTTTTGTAATTTGAACGTCTCTAAAAGATAACTGTCTCTCGCAAATCACTTCAATTGAATCACTTTAGTGTCTGGGTGACATCTTTGAGCTTGTTAAACTGTTAATACAGCAAAATGCTCTGATAATGTGACAGAAAGAAGTACTTATATTTGGCAACAGAGATGAACTTGAAGGCAATTATAACTTTCGCGTGTTTCATAACATCTAAGACAAGGAGAACATGGTTAAAATCATTGTTCAATGGAATCAGGGAGAAATATTTTTGTGGCTAAGGCTAAGACTTTGCTACTATTACGTAAGGTAAACTTAGAATAGTAGGCCGTTTTCAGTAAAACTAGCTGTTTACGAAAAGGCTGGGATTCAACTTTTTTTTCAGTTTTGATTGCATTATGCTTTTGCTGGCATATGGAGGAATGAGCAAAAATTACAAAAACAAGCAACAAAAAGGTACCAAGTAGTTGTGTCTGAGAGCTTTTGTGCACTGTTTGTTAAAATTATGCTTTGTCTTTGCAACTTCTGGTTTCATCCTGCGCTGGCCTAAGTGGCCTAAAGGTATTTAAAGCAACTGCCATTTGAGGATCAAATATTCGAAATCATTGAATTGGAAACTTTACCGGCTGCCTCCAATGTCAAACTGCCAGTTACGTGCAGGGCTTGGTATACCAAAGTAATCACCGTTTTAACAGCTGGTTCGAACGGAGCAGAAAGGAAAATACTTGTAGTTAAATAATTAACTTACGACTGTATTGACGCAGAATGTGGTCGGATTACAGGGGTCATCCCGCTCGCTGCACTCATCAATATCGACGCAGCCTATCTCTGGGTCCTCTTTGAATCCCTCATTGCAGCCACATTTGTACCCTCCCTGTGAATTACAAGTTGGTATACAGAAAAATGAACAATTGTATCTAAATGGTCCTAAACTCCAAAATTTCTTCTATCATTGATCAAAGGCTTAATAATATTCATTGAAGAGAGCACAAAATACAGTTAACTCTCTCACAGGAATTTCTAAGAAGCACCCTTCATTCTCTCGAGATTTCAATATAGATTGTGTTACACAGTTTATACAATGCAATGTGTCATGCCAATTTTCATAAGATGCGGATAAGAAATTGACAAGATTCAAAGTAGCAACAATCACATGGGAGTTATTTGCTAAGAAAGATGGTATCGACCAGTATTCTGAAATAGAATTAAACGCACGGCAGTAGAGAAGAAGTAAGAATCATCATTTCTATACTAATTGACTAATGAAATTGTTTTTGATAAACTCAAAAGTAAAACATTGCAAATTGTCATTTTACTTTTTTTAATCCCAATTCATTGGTGACCTGACCGACTGAGCAAGCTTTCAAATTTAATGACATTAAAATGGATTTTACTGAATTCTATTCCAATTGGTCTGTCCTGGTTCCAAAGCATCAGCTCACTAACTCCTCTTTAAGGTTATCGACTTTTCCGTAATATTTATTAGCTCCTGGCCTACACTTCATATTAAACTGGCTTTTCTGATTCAAATAACAAGTCGAATGAACGGAAACATATTCACAGAAAGAGAAAGGCTTACCAACTCGTTAATACAGATTTTGTTGCCGGGACAAACAGCCTTCCCTGTCTCACATTCATTGATGTCGACACAGTCGTCTTTCATCTTTTTGAAGCCGCTTTTACACTCGCACGTGAAACCACCCTATAATGATACGAGTTTTGTCTTTTATTTATTTTGTCCCTGAGATAAACAAACTTCATTTGAAAAAACGTATTCGAAATATATCCACAAAAATTAATTTTTTATGCAAACAGGCTACATTTGCATGAGTAGGAAAAACAAAGTAGAGTAGCGTCTCTTGAGAAATACTCTCATCCTCTTGAGAATTGAAAACAGCATAATCATTAAAGTTGAATTTTACTGACTCGCTAAATCGGTGAATCGTAGATGAGAGTATTGAAAGGAACAGTGATTACGATTGGAGATAATATTAAAATAGTATTACTATGAAATGGCTCTGAAATATACAAGAATAATACAATAGCAGTGACTGCTCCACATGGAGAGAGCACAAGGGTCAAACTTCAGGACAACACAAATGTCAGTGTAACATATTGAAGAGTTTAAGAGATAGTTGAAGGCCTTTGTGCAACCGACATGCTTGTGCAAGCAGTTGCCTACGCGAGAAATGTGCTGCTTTGTGTATTTTCATGTCGTACGATATAAGGCCGGTTTTGACAATATTGTCGCAAAGTATGCCGGACGTGCAAAAGCTTCCAAGCTTCCAAGCTTCCAAGCTTTAAAAGAAATGATTGTGAATACTTTACCTTTCGATTAACACAAACAGTATCTTTAGGGCAGCTTACTTCAGCACTTTTGCATTCATCAAAGTCTTTGCATACCTGTAAAACAAACGATTTATTCACGTAAATGCAGTAAAGAGTTATCGTACAACCATTCTACCGGATTGCAATGTGAAATATGAAGCTGTAAGAAATCACGCGATGCCAAGTTATTTAGACCAGAAATTGGTGAATTCAAAAGCCAAAACTTTGTTAAAGTTAGGACACAGTATAGTATCAGAATGTATCTATAAATTTTTTTGAGTAATTGATACTCGTTCAATCTATTGTCGTTACATAGAGAATTTCTTTGCAATATGCAGTACACTGAATGCAATGTTTATTTTAAAGGCCTGAGTTGACGTCATTACGCTACTAAATGCAAAGTTATTTTAATAGTACAAAAAACAATCTGAGCCAAATTTGTGATATTAATGTTATCTTTCAAAGACTTGTGCACGGTAAGACATGCAATGTAAATGACTGGAGAGCAAATATCTCATAAAAGCAAAAAGGCTTCTTTAAAGAAGTATTCATACTTGTCGATGCGTGGCAGCATGAACAATGCCAACGCCCCGCAGTGTCTTTCCATCGAATCCCTCGGGACAAGGACTGCATTCGTAGCCAGGTTGAAGATTAATGCATTTTGTTAGTGGCGAGCAAGGAGCCAGTTGACACTGAAAAGGAGGTCAGCAGCGAAATCAGTGCATATAGATAAAAGAATGGTGTTGAACAAGTGATTTTTCATTATAAATAGATTAAATGATGAAATGTCATCGATCGTTTTTGTCATATCCCACTTGTTCGCGTTTTCTCTCTCTAAGAGCAAATCACATTGAATCTCGACATACCTCATCAATGTCTTCACAATGCAGGCCGTCACCCTTGTACCCTGCTGGACAGTTCCCACACTCAAAGCCTCTTTCTTTCTCAAGAGCAGGGGTGCATGTCACGTTCTTTGCACATGGGCTGGAGGCACATGGATCCGGGAATGCCGCTTGGCCTAAAAATTGGATCACATACTTTATGAATGAACCAATCTATAAATGTTTCCATCTCCAAATACAGTGAAAGACAGCTTACACAACAAAATGTTATGGGGACCTTGTTGCCTGGTTTAAAAAGGAGGGAAAAAAACAAAAAAAAATTTTCCAGAAAATTTATTTGATAGCCTTGCTTTTCCGAGTAAGCTTGCATAAAAAAAACCGTTGACATAAACTAAAACAACTATTTAACTTAATTGTCATTATAAATTCAATCCAGGAAGAGTATCAAATCACAGTAGGTATTATTTGGAAGGGATGCAGCATAAATATTGATGACTATAGCAACTGACTTCTTTGGGTTAGATTCATCACTAGAGAATAAAGGTTTATTTGCTTAAACTTTTGTCACAGAAGAATTTTGTTCACCAGAATATATATCATGGAATAATAATTTTGGTGATATAAAAAGTAAAGAAATATGTACAGGCAGATGACTGTTTTACATTAATCTACATCCATGATTAGTAAAATACGAATTTTGTCTGTATGCTAAGCTAAAGATAACAAACAGGAAGGAGAACAGTTCACCGCGCTGATTCAGTTACCATGTGCAACGTCAAGGCTTTCAGGAAGAGACTGGGTTCTAATGATATTTAGATTTACGTCATACAAGATTAGTACTTACACACAGGACATTGCTCAAATATCTTTCTTATGGCTCTGATGTCATTTTTCTACGATAAACAATGCATTTTGACTTAGTTAATCTGCTTGAAATTATAAGCATTACATCGGAAACTTTAAAGATTTTTCGGCAATAAATATTATAACATAAAAAGTCTTTAGTATACTCTTTCTATATAGAATATGTCTTTCAGGTATAACAGAACAATGGACGTTTGCAATATGTAATTTTAAACATTTTAATTAATACTCCTCTGAGGTAATAGAAATTAATCTTTACCAGTTTGTCCTAAAGTGCTTCATGCCGTGTAGGCAGAGCTGTACACGCTATTTGGTGTAAAAACAGGACGGTTCCACGCTGCTATTCCGAGTGATACGATGGTCAGGCAAATGTTCTGATTATTACTAATGATGTTGCCGGGGGGGTACTTGCATACCAAAACGCCGGGGGTGTGCACTTCTAAGATTGTTTTGGTGAACCGGCTTTAGAAAAAAAGCTAAAAATGACACCCGGCTTTAAAATTTCTGGAAAAAAGAGCAAAGGAAAACAAAAGCTTTGATCCAAGTTGCCATGGTTGCCAGAACACCACAAAAACATTGGGCGGGCAGCCGCTTTGCTGTCATTTTTGAATAGCACAAAAACGAAAATCAGGCAACCGGCTTTAGATTATATCTTTTAAAAAGATACCCGGCCTTAGAATAAATTGCTGAAATTGATACCCGGAAAGACGTGCACATCCTGTCAGCAAAATATACTAAGTACCCCCCCCCCCCCGGGGGTGTTGCCTTTATAGTCGCTTAGAACAGTTTACCGATGGTTACACTAAGCGTGACTCTCGGAGTAGCAACTTAGAACGGTCCTGTTTTATGCACCAAAAGCAATTGTGAGGTATACGCTGGCCTGCCTTAGGCGATGGATTCATTCTAAATTCCTTATTGCTTATTAACGAAAGCTAATTAAAACAAGAAGAATCTAAGCTGCTAAAGGCTGCAATGAAATTTTGCATTTAAATAAACTATAAGTCTGAGATGCGCTTTTAAAGATTAGTGTCGCTTAATACAATTAGAATTTGCAAAATGTATCAATGACAATGGTTAGCTAACTAATTATGAAACGATATTGCTAATCCTCTTAAATATATTACATTGAGGTAAGAGGATCGTGGCAATTTTGAAATCGCATCAAGAAAGGTATCTGAAAAATCCGGAATTAACCAGAAAAACTACGTTGAAAATGTCTTTTTCAAGAGCTCCATTGATACGCTTACGACACGACAAATTATAATTTCGTTTAAAGAAAACCATGCTTGTGAATGTGGACAACCCTGCCTTTACATGTTTTAAATAAAATCGATATATCGAGAAGATTCGTGCGGAATTAACCAATCGAAAAGTAGATGATATACCGCACTTGATTGGTCAATTCTCTCTTTGTCTGGGGATAACGTGAGCTAGCCCAGAAAGCACTGGAAACGGTCTCTAAAATGTGTTTTGGTCTCATTATGAAAAGAAACACGGGCTGTGGATGCAAATAAACTAAATATTGGGAAAGTAGGGGCAGCCACAAAAGGAGTGAAAGCTATTTCTTTATCTCTCAGAAACAGTATTTGAGAGTCTAGATAAACGCACAGAGATACGATGTAATTTCACTAGTTGGACAGAAACTTCTTAGTTAAGAAGCTAACGTTAAAAGAACGATTTTGTTGTAGAGAACAGAACGGTTCCAACTTGCTATTCTGAGTTCAACGCGTTAACCGATCGTCAAGCAGCATTTATCAGAAACTTGAGTAAAAATAAGGTTGAAACTATGTACGTTTTATACTAGAATAAAAATGACAAAAATTGGCCTATTCTGTCAAAATGCGTAGAGTATTCATAAAATTGACCTACGACAATAAATTTATAGCGATCAGCTCCTTTCGCCGTCATATCAGTTTCAAATCAAAGCCTTTTGGAACGTGGCTACCTGTGAATTTACGATATGCTGACAGGGCGTAATTATGAAAGAATTTTGAACTGTCCTGGTTTGCAAAACCGAAAGTCTGAGTTATTGCAAGTGGTTAGATTGGTCGTGAATCAAATTTGAACCACATTAAAAAGGCCACAATGTCTGTGTTCATTGGAATTGAGAGATGTTGGATCACTGAAGGAACGTTAAGTTGTCTAGGGAGATGTTTCAAACCAACGTTCTAAGCACTTATGACCTTATAGAGCATCATTTGCATAGCAGGTCTAACGTCTACAGCATTATATAGTTCGGTATACAAAAAGTGTGACGTTGGATGTAATTTTAGCTTGGCGAATATATGTATTTGAACGTACTCATAAATAAAAGCAGAAACAAGCTGTATTCGAATATTTTAATTATAATGAGCCGATGTGGCTCTCACTCAATTGGTACGTTTTACCTAGGGTACTACAGCTGTGAAAATTTTATACACATAAGGGTGATAGGGCTATCATAAACAACACAACCAGAAATTGGGCCTCTTTTAGCATTAACAAAGGGGGCTGAAACCAATTGGCTCTCTAATTTACACCACCAACTAGATCTGAAACGTAAGTAAATGAAGCTAGCCAAGACAATACATACTCCCTAGGGTCAGAAAATGTTAAAACACGCTAACAAATTGCGTCCTCATAACATAATTCGGTGTCTTTGATGTTTTCGCTAATGAAATAGTTGATTCACCATTGATATGGTTCAGTATTTTGGCCTTGGATATCTGGTCGCGCAATCTTTGCGGTCATTTTACAGGCAGGACAAAGGGGCCGTGAAATCTACTTTAAACCCCAGGTAATGAAATTATGGATAGAAGATGGCTTAGAAAGTACCGAGCGAAACTCTCGAGGAACCATACTCTGACCATGGCTATTTGAGCTTAACAACGTCTGTGCATACATCGTTACACGTGTTTGGACATGTAACAAATTAACAGAGAAAAGCACCTAAGCCTGACGATGAAGAAAAAAGTTCTTTTTCTATCTGTTTAAAAGAATTCGAGCGTTTAGAGTAGCTTGAAAGCTTCTAGACTGAATAAAATCACAACTCTTTGGATAGACAAGAGACAGAAACTAAACGGGGTAAACAATATATAGAATGTATGGAAAAACAATTAGGTTCATTCAGTTAAGCCCTTTATCAATTACATAACACAACGAGCATTGAGATGCGATCTCGTGACCTTTAATATCAATTGAAAACAACGTTACGTCACATTTTAGGGTGGGGCGTTGATGGTGAAATTGTTAAAATTACTAGTCAAATTGGTCAAACCTGGTATTTCAGTTCATCTTTGATGTCTTGTATGATGCTTATAATGGCCTTTAGAGTTTGGTCATCCATGTGAAATGCATCTAGAAGAACGATGCCATTGTAAAAGCATTTAATCTATAGCAATTTATTCAAATCATTGACAGCAAGGCTCATGTAATCAGTAAAAGAACCAAATCATACGTCAGTAATCTACTACATTATGTTAAAAGGTATTGAGAAAGTCTAAAAGCCTCTAATTTATGGAAAAACCAAAAATGGTCTTGTATTAAAATATGTAACCATCCACCTTCCTTTTCGAATTCGATGAGCAAAATGGCTTTGAAAAAAGCAGACATTTAACAACACACTTAAAGCTTTTTCATCTGACATTTTTTCATCCTCAGATCATGAAACGTCAGAATCAGGGTCCGAAAGATCACGATAAAAATATATACCCAGTTGTGGATCAAAATAGGCCAATCAGAAAAACGCAAGCACAAGACCGGTATAATTGACCAATCATTGCCCCGAGCCTAAAGAAAAATTACTACTGGAGTTCAAGAGAGAAAACGAACTCCGAACTGTTCTATAAACCCTACAGTTGCTGTACCCCACTTTAATTACACCTTTCTCTCACAACAGAGCGAGGCACGTAGATTTCTGAAACCATGAATTTCACAGTTGATCACCAGAAGCTCTCTCTGTGGCATTTTAAGAATTAACAATTTCAACATGGTTATCCCATCTCAAAAGTGCAACCAAGTGTGGTTTTGAAAACAGCTGCGACGCTTCATATCAAAATATATCCTTGATTTAAAAACTCTGTTTTGCATTGACAAAAAGCAATATTTTCGTTTACAGATTAAGGGTGTGGTATCGAGTTGGTAGATACTCACTTGCGGCCAGTGCCGCGCATGCCTCGTTTCCGGTAGCTTGATGTGCCTTGATGCCCAGAGCGAGGAACGAAATCCACATGATGACGCCATTTATTAAAGTGGCGGCCCTTGAGGTAACCCGTACCATGTCGACAGGCTTTCAAAGAGTCCCTATAGAAGAAAAACCAACAATTGACAATAAACTAACAACAACACAATCAATAATTATTATGCTGATGAAATAAGTATATCTGCTACGTGCTTAATCAACCAAATTAAAACTGACTTCAAATCCTTAATTGCTGTAGCTCCATAAGTCAAGAAGCTGTTTCAGAGAGAGCCATGTCAAACTTTAAACAGAATAAAAACAACATTGGAATTGATTAGAGACTGTAATTATGTTACTGGAGAAAAGAAATCGCCTCTGTTCAAAAACGAATTGAAGGAGCTAGATTGACATCCAAAGAATAAGCTCACAGCTGCCAGTGCCCGTCCTTGGATAAAAGACATGGGCAATAGAACTTCACAAATTTATGTTTTAATCTCAGGCAAAGTTCTTGTCGAAAAACAGACTGACGAATCGCAGTTATGGAAATGTGGCTCTTAAATGCCCACCTGGCAGCACAACGTCTTTCACCACATGTAATTTTGCTTACCTGATCCCAAGGGAAGTTATTATGGTATCGAATACCTAAATATTTTATATTTTCAACGATGTTAATTTTACTGTCATCAATTGCAAATAACAAAGATACAGTCAAACCTTCCAAAATGGTCAAACAATCAAATAACCTTCACAAAGCCCGAATTTTTTAAGGCCAATTTAAACTAGAATAGAATCTCTTGAGAGTACTTAGTTTTATCTTTGCTGTATGATGTCACAAGATTACATTTTAAGTTAAGGATAAGACATATCACCTAACCCTATTATTTACAAACATTTATTATCCAGCACGTATTTTCCTCTCAATATTGAATTCTTTGTTGATCATATCAATAAAAGTTTATTATCTTTTTTTGAGAATTTTGCTAACAAGCTTCGGAGATATGATTCTGTTAAAATGAATAAGCCAAAACTTTTAAATTGAAATAGATAAAAACATAGAACAAATCTTCAGAATCTTTAGAATAAATATTATGATATGCTGAAAAAGCGCGATAAAAAAATTCCTGGAACATGTAATTTACATCTTGTACTTTCACATAATGTGGTTATGATTTACTATGTTGTAGGTGGACTTTGAGTGATTTTCTTCGCAATAACGTTCTCGTACATTCACCTACTTTGCACGAGTGAATCATGCGAACTTAGCTTTCTATGACGCGAGAGCATACTTAGTTTCCTGTCGTTGAAATATCTATCTAGACCAATTTTACTTTTACACTTTTGAAAGTAAGTCTTTAATTCCCTCGATGAAATATTTTACCTAGCAAGTAATTTGAGATAGATAAAGGACTTAAGTCATCAATTCTTTGTCAATCAACGCCCTAAGACAAATCGTGTTTGAAATATTGTTACAATGACTTCTGTTGTTCAAGTTTCTTGTGTTTGTATTTTCAGTTTGATTTTCCTGTAATGGATTAAAAACATAAGCAGCCAAACTTAAGATAAGTAAATATGGAAGAACTGCAAAAGCCGAAAGCGTTCCTTCACCATTCCAGTTAAAGTGGAAACGATTCACCCTCATAAACTTTGTCATTAACTCTACTACTGTTTCAATATTTAGGCTTTTGCATGAACGGCATCAAAATTTGACGAAAAATTGTTATCTTAGTAAAGAAATTTAAATTCGCTAGAAGATAGGCAATCTGTTGCAGATGCCTAGAGAGGTAGTTGAACACATTAATGAATCAAACAAAGGAATTGAATTCGTAGACAAAGGAATGGTTTCTACTACTGCATAGTAAACAAGTTTCTTAAGGAAAATGATTATTGTAGAAAACTGTTTAGTGGGAAACGAACAAAGCTTTTCAGTGAAAGATACATCTGACAAGAGATACATTACATCAGTTATTGCTTTCATATAATGACCCTACAGATTCACAAACGCATGGTTTTAAAAAAGCAGATTTTTGGATGTATTGCTAGACAAATTTTTCACGATCTTGTTACTTTGATGTTCTCTTTATCATGTTTTTTACTTCGAAACGATGGCTAACAGCTTTGAAATCGATCCCTAGGGGGTTGAAATATCGAAGCCCTTCGAACTCTCTTGTGAAACTAGCATCGTCCCTAGAGACCACATTTCAGCAAATCTTATCCATTTTTTGCAGTATTTAATAAAATCTCCACAATAAACAAAACCATTGGTACTGGTTCAGCATCACAACAAATATTGAGCAAAGACAATGAGCTGAAAAACTCACCTTGACGTAATTGAATCAAATCAGAAATTTGATAGTATGTTCTGATGTTGCCTATAGTTGATGTTGGTTGTAAGTATTTGTAATTGTGTATTATGTAACACAGCCTGTTTTAGGTGTTACTCTCTCGCTCCAAAAACGTTCTTGTCACCTTACACCGTCAGCTTGGCTTGTGAATCGCGAAATACTCACAGCCACCGCTAGCAATGCGATTTTGTTCGGGAGCGAACACTTAAACCAAAGCTAACAGCAAAACCCGGACTGTCGTAATCGGATTAGGGCCGTTCAGCCAATTTTTCATTGGAGCAAAGTTGCTAAATTGCAGACAATCAACGTAAGCTCCATTTCTAATCGCATCAAAATAATTTCAAATGAAACAATTTGAAGGCCGATTTGATACAACCACCTAGTTTGGATTTGTGATTGTAACAATTAAGCAGAGCGAACCCACACATTGTTGTCATGCATGTCATGCTGGCCCTGTCAATGTGACCCACTAGCTGACCAATGCATAGAAAAAAATGGAATATTTTCATTCTGCCAAAATTTTAACCAATTTTCAGGTTATAAATTAAATCAAGGCTTTATCTTTGTGTCTGTGCATGACTTCGGGACACAAGAAAGGATTCCTGGGCAAATTAGGTTTGGTAGATATGGTACTTGTTCATACCACAGGAATGGTTTATCAAGAGCACCCGTGTTAAAATCTCTTTTGGTTTGAAACCTTGTTACTGGATTCCCAAATCAAACATACATTAAATGCATGCTAGAAACTATGACCAGGACTCTTATACTGGTTTCGGAATCTAAATATCCCTACAGCGAACACCTATTGGACCAGAAATACTGTCCGTTAAAGGATGTGTCCGTTGTCTCGTTGTGGCTTCTTCGTATCTTTGAATGCAAGAATGGGAACATGGGAAGATATCGTTACCTTTAAAATTTCTGCTGTCGATTTAAGTTATACGCCTCTCCCTGCATGTGCTAGTAATAACGCATTACAAAAGGCTAAAAACAGGGTCTTGGCACGGATGGTATGAATTATCGGTGAATGGCAAAACATGGTATCACAAAGCATGGTACGGTATTAGATGGCATAGTATAAGCAAGAGTATGGTATGATATTGTATGACATGAAAAGGAATGGCACTGTATGACAGGACATGGTAGGTGATGCCGATTTCTAGCCAAGATCAATTAGTTTTGACAAATGAAATGCACCAAAGAATAAAAGATTGAGCAAAGTGAATTGGCAGAATAGTGTTTACAAAACGAGAAAACGTTGCTTACTAAATAAGGAGGATACATGAAAACTATTGAATTCGTTGCTCGCAATTTGCTTTGATGCAGTAATGCATCACGTTTGTAAGCAAAATTCGTAAACAACTTATAAATACAGTATTGTATTAGATTTCGGTGTATGTCGACCGCTAAAGTTGCACGAGATTGGTTGTATTCAAGCAAAATAGGTTTGTTTTTGAGTTGGATCTCTTGCAGCAAAGAATCTTTCGTAAATCGAACATCGCCGACATGTACATAAGGACGGAGGACTAGCTCATTGAAATTTGAGTGGGTGAAGGGGATGGGCGCAAAATGTAGACCTATCTGATCTTTGTCAAATTTGTATTTTCACCGAAAAGTCATGTTTGTCGATACTGCATTTCTAAATAAAAGAACCTGTTCGCAATTATATCAGAATTTTGATGTTCTCATTAAAAGATCCTATTCTTTTGTCAACAGCCACAACTTCCCGTCTTTGTCAGGCTTGACCTTTGCACAGCGTTGATATCTTAAGCTCAGTTTACACCAAGAGCTATAACCAGGGCTGGACCCGTGCTAAAGCAACCCTTACCATTTTTCTGTTGTGTAACTTGAATAAGTCGTATTACCTAAGACGAGGCTTAAGTATGTTAGATTAACTCGCGATAACTGATAATTTAAGTGTTATCGCAGGGTGGGGCAAAAAGGGGCTGGTCCTGCATTTGCAGTGCTACTCTAAGCTAAAATTGGCTGCTACACAAGCACTTTAATCTGCTTCGATGCGTTTTACAACGCAAACAGGGTGGGCAAAATTAACTATGTGCTGCGACTAGGTGAAGGCTCGGGATAACGAGAAAAGCTGTTCTCCTTATTGATGTTTATGAGAATTAACAAAATGAAATAAATGGGACAATTATAAACGTGCATATTATAAGCCGATGATTTAAAAATGACAAGTGTTTGACCGGGTAAGGATAGATACGCATCAGTGAACATGCATAGAAACGTTATAAATAAAAGAAAGAATAAATGACAAAAAATATAAGTTCATTAAAATTATTTTTTAACTACTCTCCTGGGAGAGCAAAACAAATCGTTCAAAACAAAATCAAACCGTTTTCATAAGAGAAAAGTGTTCACTATGAGCTTAAGCCACTCAAAATGTCAATTTCAGTGAATTACACTCTCCTGTGGTCAAGTGGGGTTAGCAATAATTTTCGAAATTAAAAATTACTTGTCATATGGTGTGCTATTTTAAGAAATTTAAATTGTTTGTTAAAAACACATGTCTGAGGTTGAAGCGTTGGCTATGCCTGTCAAAGTTTTATGAGCCTTCAGAAGTCCGATTGGTATTCAATCTATTAAAAATACCTCATTGCGGTGTTTTGGGTATGGGCAACCATTTATCAAGTTTCAGATTGTCTTTATTTTATCAATCTGGATACAACAACACAGAAAAGGCACGCGATATATGTAAAAGACGACCTGTATCGACGCAATTTTTTTTATTACTTGGTTCAAAAAGAATTTTTATGGATATCGAGAAT